GGATATACTCCATATGTTTAAAGAAAGGATTTGCTCAGAGTACATAACTAACATGAGTCCTTTATATATATTTTTTGGTGGGGGCAGTACTGTTACTTTCCTAAAAATACAAAAAAAAAAAAAAAAAAAAAAAAAAAAAAAAAGCAAGCTTTTCTGTTGTTTTTTCATTCTGAAAACATACCACAATTGTCTTCTCCATAGCTACTCTAACTCATCTAACATTCCATAAAAACAATCATGGACTAAAGAGAAAATATCTGACAACTACATATCTGATAAATGGCAAAAATCAAAAAACCAAATTAGAAAATGTAAAAAGACAAACTTAAGGCTGTATGAATGGCAAACAAGCAAATAAATTAAGTTCAACATTACTGGGTTCTAGGGAAATGCAAATTAAAATGAGATACCACTTCCTACCTACCACTATGGCTTAACAAGTATCAAAATAGTAAATGCTCCTAAGGATGCAGAATAACTCAAATCACTGATACACTGCTGATAAAAATGTAAAATGGTAATCACAAAACAGTTTGCAGTCTCTTTAGAAAAATAAAAACAAAACTGTCAGGAATTGCAATCCTTGACATATACCCTAGAGAAATTAAAACTTAATTTACAAAAACCATATATACAAATGTAGCTTTAGCTGTAATAGCTGAAAACTAGTAACAGAGACATTTTCAACAAGTGAATAGTTCAACTATAGTACATTCATACCATGGACAATATTCAGGGATAAAAACAAATGCACGACTGTTACAAGTACCTATGTCTCGATTCTCTACATTTGAGGGAATGTATAAAAGGGGGGCATCCTAAAGGTTACAAAATACATGTCCCACTTACAAAAAATTTTAAGTGACAAAATTATACAAATGGAGTACAGATTAATGGTTACTGGGATTAGTGCACAGCATGGTGATAGTCTACACTTCTACCTGCTCTATGTTGTAACAGCCTTGTAAAGTTCTAGTGGCTGACTATAACTGCAGTAAAACCTGGGTCTGAAAGAGTAATTCATTCTACTTAGAATCCAAAGCACTTGTATATTGAAGCAATGAGAAAGAGATCTATAAGACCAGATATGGCCATGTGAGGCATGACATACTATTCCAATGCAAGATATTGCTCATTAAGTTACAATTTCTTAGAAATGCTTGCTCGCCTGTGGAACTCTTATAGACCAAATTACTCACAATCCAACGTTTAACTATATACAATATTTTTTGTATTTTTGACCCATACTGAAGATGCATAATAGAAATTATGATAATAGGAATTTTTAGAATTATGTATGATCAATGACCTGGTTGTGACACTGCTCCAGGGCATCAGACAAAATGTCTCCCATGCAGGAGCACATGGTGCCAATACTATTCTAATGCTCCAATTACTGTGAATCTTTAATTACCTCAAAACCATAAACTTAATTTTTAAAATCTGAGCTCAACAAAGACTGTATTTTCTGTGTAACAGTTACCAAATGTTAATGTCAGTCAAATTAGTACATGTAGAGATAAGACACTACCAGTTTATTTCTCTTACTGTCTGTAGAAAACTGATTACTCCAACATAAAAACTATGCTGAAAATAGATATCATTATTTAGTGTATCCTAGACAAAGCTTTTACATTTTCCTAAGTGAACAAGACAGATTCTAAAGAACAAAGTCATATCACAACTTACTACTTCATCAGCAAATCCACCAGCCAGGACAAGAGAATAAGCCCCATCGTTACTGCGACCATGAATTCCACCAACATGGGGTCTATGAACACCTGCTTCGCTCACCTATAAAATAGGTAAAAAGAATCTCAGAATGCCTCTGAACAATTGTCATGTTTACAAAATGCTTTTGCATGTATTACTAAACCATAAAAACTCAAGAATCCTGTCTCACCCAGTTTTATCTTTTGCTCTTATTTTATTTTTCTTTTTGACAGGGTCTTTGCTATACAATTCAGGCTGGCTTTGAGCTCATTTTGTAGCTCAGGCTGGTCTTGAACTAACAATGATCCTCCAGCCTCATCCTCCTGAGTGCTGAGGTTATAAGTGTGTATCACCACCCCTGGGTTGCTCTCAACCCAAATAAATCCAAAAGGGAGGAAAGAGACAACCTTAATTTTGAGTATGTCTAGAGTTCTCAGTTTCACAGTAACTCGATAAAAATCATCATCAACTTCCAGGCTAACTGAGATAAAAGAAAACTATCAGCAGTCAAGATCACCTCTCTCCTGTATTTTTCATCTTTGATTATGGCTATTCCCTACCCAGATTTTCAGGTAAAAAAATTGCAGGAATTATTTTATCCCATTCTTTTCCTATATTCCCTAATACATATGGTCACAAGGATTCTTCACTTCCTAAATCCTTCAAATCCATTTTTTTTTTTTTATTTTACTTTACATCGGACCCTGTTTCACTGCCTTCAGTTTTGCTTCTCTGAACCTATCCTATCATAAACAGAATCTCTATTTAGAGAACTGTGCTTGTATGAAATGATCTTAGAGTATCAAGCTCAAGTGAAGCATTATATACTGTATTACACCTATTTCCCCATTTTCCCAGCTATATTTATGCATCCTATACATTAAGAATGAAAATTACTCAACACTACCCAAACATAAAATCCATTTCTAGTTTAGTGATGCTATCCTACTTCAAAGTCCTCTGCTTTGTCTCATATATTCTGAAATTTTCCTTACTGAAACAAGTCCTCCTCTTTCTATACTTCGCACTCCCTGAGGAACATATTGTGAAACAACTATTCTTAGTAAATAAGCTGAAATTCAAGTTTACACAGTGAGCATGGATAAAGAAAGTGGCTTTGGTTTATGATGGTAAAAACAACTGACATGGGAAAAACTGAGGCCTTGGTAACTCCAGAGTTTAGCAGAAGGCAGAGGCTTCTGATCTGTTCTACTCTCTCCCTTTCCCTAACAGGTAAATCCGTCCTACTATATGTTAAAGCCACTACTCTCAGTCACCATGGAGTCTTAGAATACAGCACAAAGGTTTCATAGTTAGGGAATGACTTAATGACAGAAAAAAAAAAGAACAAAAAGTTATACTACTTCATTATTTTGTATTTATAATCTTACTGTACTTATAGATCAAAAGTAATGAAAAATACAAATCCCAAATACCAGTTCAGTTAAAACTGATACAACTATTCCAAGGATGAGAGAACACAAAGTACTAAGCTAACTATCCATCTTCTGTAGAAGGAAGTTCATAAAACTAAAAAATAAAAGAAATAAACGTATTATTTAGAAAAAAGGTAAAGCCAGGGAAAATAACTAAAATTTTATCTCTGAAAAACAGAAAGTGTAGATAAAAATTAAGGTGGGTTTTTAAAATTAAAATCACACACTACTTGACTTTTCAAGCTATGTAAAATTTCTTTATTTTAATCATATCAAAGATCTCAGGACAATGGATCCCTAAATATAAAAGGGAGCTTGCTTGCTTGCTTGCTTGCTTGCTTGCTTGATTTATTTATGTGGGCGGCTCAGGCTGGCATGGCATATAGTTCCAGGTATCAAACTGCAGTCCCTGCATGCTTGCCCAAGCAGGTGCTTTAGACTGCTGAGCTATCTTACTGGCCCAAGGAGCTTTAATTGAAGTTCAGAATACTAGGTATCTGAGAACGGTTCTGCAGAAATTGTTTCTTTCACGTTAAGTTTTCCATGGTAAAATTAACTTTCTAAAAAAGAAATTAGGAAAATAAATAGTACCTTCCTTAAGTGAAAAGAGAAAATTTTATTCCTGCATTACTAGTACTTCTTTCTCTCCAATATATTTGACATAATTGTTTTCAGTGAGGAGAGAAAGCCTCAGAGAAAACACTCAAAGGCAGCTTTTTAAAGTTCAATGAAATTAAATGAGTACCGCATGACTTAAAGAAAAACTGTAATATTTCAAACACTACAATTTTTTAGTGAGAAAATTCCTTTGAAAGCTTAAAGGTAAGAGCTAAATATGGGCACACACCTAAAATCCCAGCATTCTGTGAGGCTGAGGCAGGGCAGTTCCAAGTTTGAGCCCAGCTAGCTACACAATTTAGCAAGATCCTGTCTTGAAATAAAAAAATTTAAGGACAGGCACCTGGAGATGTAGCTCAGTGGATAGGCACTGGTTTCAATCTCTAGTATTGCCAGAAGGGGAGAAAGGTGGAAGGAAAGGAGGGAAGGAAAGAAAGATTAAAAAAAACACCGTAACATAACAAAAATAGCTTGGTAAGAAAGAATAGTTGATGACCAATTCTGTGAGGTACATTCCTGGTTAACCTTCCAACAGCAGAGAACACCATGGGCTATTGTTTTTTTAATTTATTTTAGTACAGGGTCTACAGGGTCTCACTACACAGATTGGAGTCATAGTGATCCTCCTGTTTTCAGCCTTCCCAGCACTAGTATTGCAGGCATGTGCCACCAGGCCCAGTCTCAGTCACTGTTTTAGCAAGCCCTGGGGGCAGGCTAGCATAGCAAGCCGGGGACCGAACCTCTGTCCCTGCACCTGTCTAAGTAGGTGCTTGAGTACACTGGACTATTTGGCTAACCCCATCATGTGCTAACAAGGTCTGTCTTACAATCAATACATGTTAACATTACTTCAATTTTCATATAAATTCATTTTACCTTTTCAACTATACCAATTCAAAAACATACCTGAACCCTAAATCTCCACGTTGATCCAACAGGAATACCAGGAATAGGTCCATAATGATTAGAAGGGACAATAGTGCACTCTTTTGTACGGCCAACACAAGCCATGCCCTGCAAGTTACAGAACAAACTGAGATAGCAAGTATGTTACATCTCTTAATCAAAAAACTGAATTCCCAAATATAACATAGAAGCGCCACTAATATGTTATTTAGGTATCATTGATTTTTTACCTTATATTAATTTTTTATACCATAACTACTGTATGCTTTAAAACATTATATAATATAATTTGTTACTAGGCGGAAAAGGTGAATTTCTTCCTTACCCTGCCCCAGTCCCGCCGGCTTTCAGTACTGGCAGAAGGCATCTTTGCTTTCTTCTTACTCATCTTGAGTCCTTCACCAGCCTTTACAACCTCACTGGAATCAGTTTTACAGCAAGGACAATACCTTTAAAAGAAAAAAGAACAATTTTGACAATATTGTAGAAGGGCAATAATGGAATAATAACCTTTATAGCTTAAATACAAGTCTAAGATGTATTACTTGGGATAGATTTCAGAGTTTCAGCACACATTAAACTTGTTTTTGTTTTTGGTTCCAAGAACTGAACTCAGGACCTTGGGCTAGCTCCAGGTCACATTAAACTTTTAATAATACCTTCATGATTAAGCTAGGTATAAGAACACATTTATTATGCCTTTAGAAACATTAAAGATTTTACTCTTACAAATTCTCAAAACTGAATTCTAAAGTCAGAGAAAACTGTGAGTCTGTGGCACCACAAACTGTAATCTTAGCAGTATGACAGTAGAAATTATTTATTTGAAATTCCCAGCATTAAAACAAAAGTACAAACGAATGGTTCTTTTTGACCAAATACTGAACTAGGCAATGGATAGATCTCCATACCTTATTTGGTTTTAGAATTCTCAGAATTGAAAATATACAGTCTGTTACGACTGTGTAAAACACCAGAGAGTTTTGCTTATGTCAGTTTCCTCCTTTTTCTATTTTAATTCCCTAACTTGTTGGTTCTTTATCATAAGTTGCATTAAATCTTTTGTAAGAGTATATGTCAATAGATAATGCTTTCAAATATGATAAATAGATATGGTATATTAGGGGTTTTGTGTGACTATATATTTCTTCTCCTTTTTATTCTGTTTGAGCTGGGGATTGAACCTAGGACATAAGGTAGGCTGAGTAAGTACTTTACCACTGAACTATACTTCTAGCCCTCTTTTTCTTTTATTTTCAAATAAGATCTTTCTCAATTGTGCAGGTTAGATTTCAACATGCAATCTTCCTGCTTCAGTGTTCTGGGTAGTTGGGAGTACAGGTGTGTACCCCGACACCCAGCTGAGATGAGGTTACTTTTAGCTCATAAGGAATAAAAACTCTACGAGGTAACTTGGTTAGCATTACAGGAGAAAAAGAGACATAGTTCAATTCCTGAAGTCGGTCCTGAACTCAACCCTCAGCATCCCATGAAAACAAAAACAAATTTTCTAATTGGGAAATTGCAAAAGCTTCCAAAAATTAATTTGTTCTTTTAACATTAATGTGCATTTCACAATAATAATTAAAGAGTATATAACTAAAGTAACTATTAACTGTCTGATGAGAAAATGATTTCAAATATTAAATATCCAAACAACATGACTTGAAGAAATAAAACATACGATTTAAGGTCAAGTAGTTCCAGGTGAAATGAAGGACCCTGATATGAATTTAGAGCTATTCCATGGTGTAATTTAAGACTATCCTCCAAAGGTCATGCCTGGGAATAATTCCAGAAGTATTGGGACCTCCAATATGGCAGGCATTAACTGGTGCTGAGGAAAAATACTTGTGAAGAAAATAGGTAAGTCGTTGTGTAAAAGGAAAGAACTTTACATAGGGTTTGTTTGGTTTGTTTATGTATTTGGTACAGGGGCTCACTACACAGCTCAGACCCTTAGTGATCCTCCTGTTTCAGCCTCTCCAACACTAGGATTATAGGTGTGTGCCACCTCACCTGGTCTTGGTGGCTGTCTCAGTGCATCCAGGGGCGGTAGCTGACATGGCAGTTGGCACCAGGGATTGAAACCCGGTCTCTGTATTTGCCTAAGCAGGTAGTTAGTCCACTGAGTTATCTTACCAGCCCTACATAGTTTTAAGTACTACACTGTAAATGAAATCAGCATTATGTGAAAAGAGCAGTTGGAAAGGGGATTTCTCCAAGGGTGGAGAAGCCAAGAAACAGGTAGGCACAAAGGTCCCGAAGCATACAAATACATGGTAAACCCAGAGGAACATAAAAGTGAATACAGTTAGTAAATAAACACGCTGGTAATAAGTAATGGAGTTAAGAGAATAGACAAGGGTCAGCCCCATAAATGGTGGTAACTTAATTTTACTATAAACATAATACAAAAAACAGTGGAGGTTTTAAACAGATGCATGGTCTTGATTCAGAACTTAGTGACATCATCCTGATGTTATGGGAGAAAGGGCAGCCAATAAGTACTGTGGAAACAAAGGGCACTGTGGAGTACAGAAGAGCAGGTAACAAATAGTGGTTTGTACTGGGGCATGAAAAGGGAGCTTATAGAAAATTAATTCAGATTTGATAATGTATTAAGAGATGGAGTAAGTGAAGGGACTACAAAGATAAGCATGGCTTTTGGGCATGAGAAGTGGATAGAGCCTTATTAACCAGAAGTTGGGAGAGGAACAGGATTTTAGGATAAGTGTTTCTGAAAACCAACAGCTGTGTCTGGACTGACCTGGGGATGTAGTCAAATAAGCAAACGTGTATCGAAATACAAAGCTCAGGGGAGATTTGATTTCAAAGCAAAACTTCAAAATAATACCTTAATATTTAAAGTGTCATGACTAGATGAAATCATTTAGAAATCAAGGATGAAAAGAAAATGGGTAATGCTTTATTTATTTAAAGGGAAAAAGAATTGGGGGGGGGGTTGGCTCAGGATACCTTCAGGGCAGGTCTGGTTTGGCTTGAGGATCTGGGGATCAAACCACAGCATCCCGAGCCTGACTGCTTTGTTTAAGCAGGCACTTGAACAACTGAGCTAAGGGGAAGGCCCTGTAGGTAATGCTTTAGAGATACCAAAATTTGGTGAGGGGAAAACATTAATAAGGCTGAAGTAGAAGGTGAAAAATTAGGATCAAATGTCATAAAATCTGACAGACACACACACAGATACATACAGACACACACACAAAGTAGGTGAACAGTTGAGTAGGGAAAGGACCAAGAAGTGACTTCTGAGATAGAAAACACAAAGTTTCTACCAGCCTTACCTGAGGCATACAATGGAGAGGTAGTAAGGAAAGTACACAGCAGTGCTGAGGGGTAAAAGCCAGAACAAAAGAATCAGAACAATCAGGTGGCTTTGGAGAAGTCTGGCCATGAAGGGAGCAGCAAACAGGGAAGTGGCTGGTGGGGGACTGCATTAAGGGAAGTTTGTGTGTTTTGAAAATTCAAGAGATCCTAGGATAGTAATAATACATGGTCTAGTAATGGCAATTTGGAAAAGAAATTAACTGCAGGACCAAATTTTCTGGAAAGGCAAAATGATAAGGAATTGTGAGACCATGAGAAGGGTTTGCATCTGTAACTTTAGAGGAACAATGATTACTCCCAAGGACAGATTCAGTGTGACCATGTAGGTTAGCAGTAAAGGCGCCAGAAGATGCTTGATCCCTTCCCCTTTTCTCTCATCCACATAGCCTCTCTTGTGTCAGAGCAAGTAAGTATCTTTCTAACACGTGGGAAAAGTGCAAAGGAAATGCAAAGAATCTCTTCTTCACATTGATATCAACTACACACTTCTCGTATTATTTCTGAGTATATATTTCATCATTAAAACCCTCAATGGCAACAATTTGTTTTTTTTTTTTTTTTAAATTTTATTTATTTGTGTGTGTGCGTGTGTGTGTGTGTGTGTGGCCAGCCCAGCCCACCAGGGGGCGGGGCCGACCGGCATGCGGTGCCGGGGGACCGAACCGCGGCCCCTGTGTTCTGCCAAGCTTGTTCTAAGTAGGTGCCTCAGACCACTGAGCCATCCCACCAGCCCCAGTTTTTTTTTTTTTTTTTTTTTTCAGAACCGGGGATGGAACTCAGGCCCTTGTGCTTGCCAGGGAAGCGCTTATTCTACTGAGCCATCTCACCGGCCCCAATGGCAACAATTTGGCCCATGATTTTAAAAGGGAAAAAACTAGTATTCCTTAACATGTATTTAAGGGCTGGGGAGATAGCTCAGCAGCATAAGCACCTGCCTAGCAAGTGTAAGGTCCTCAGTTCAATTCCCGATACAAAACTAAACAAAAAACCCAAAGTATTTAATGTCATTAAACTTTGATCAGACATTATTCCCAGTCTTATTCCCATTTATTGTCATTATCTTTTATTTTTCAATAGCTAAAACTACACACAGAAATTTAGATTTTGACAAGTATGTTGGGCCTTGGAGCTTTGGTCTGCTCACCGAACACACAGGATTAGACACAGTAATAAAAGCACTTTTGTCAGATGCTTCCATCTGCTAACAAAAACACCTAATACAGTGCGGGCAATCTGCAAAGGCTTACGAAGAAAGACATTTTTAAATGAGAAGCTGAAGGATGAGTATCGTCTTGAAGCTAACCCTAAGAGGACAACACTTCAAAGAAGAAAATGTATCACGTGCAAAACTCTGAAGAAGAACATGACTTAGTTAAGGTGAAATCTGGCTAGACTGTAGAGTACTTTTAGAAATGGAAGAGGAAGTGATGAGATACAGCTAGAGAAAGGCAGAAACAATATGTAAGTTTCAATAAAGCTTTTGAACAAAGAGTAACACAGTCCTTTTTGCCTTCTGAAAGACTCCACATTAGAGTCTGGACTATAAGGACTGAGTTGGAAAGCTGCTACTATAATCCCATGCAGTTATCAATGCAAAGGAACTGTTGTAATATTTTAAGCACTTTGATATACATTATGTATTTTTAAAACTGTTGCTAGTGGTTCAGATACACATTTCATATTCGATTCTTCATAAAATGAGAAAAACCTGATGATCATACCAGTATTCTTCCTCTGGGATTTTATCCAAAGGTGGATTCAGGCAGTAAATATGATAGGCCATATTACATTCATCGCAAAGGAGCTGCATGTTGGGTTCACGTTTCTCTCCACATTTATGACAAGAACAAGTATGACATTTCTTATCTGGGTCTCCGCCACACAGGTCACATTCAGGGTCATTTTTCCCTATGAAAAGCAAAACAAAAACAACTCTTAAAAAATATTTTTCCCACTTATTAGCATTATAAGGAAAATATGTGAATGAATAGCTTTTTAATGGAAAGGAACCAAAAGCAATAGCCAAGTGAGAAAATTAAAGAATAAATGACTGTTCCAGGCTTATTAAATTAGCATTTCAGGGACACAGCTCATGTTTATGCCAGTGAAAAATCTAATGACAGCTAATGCAAATACAAACTTTTGCCTTAAAAGCTGTATTATAAAGAGAACCCCACCATTCCTGAGTTCCCCAAATATTCACTGTGATACTCTAGGGCAGTGCTGTGAACTTAGGACAACACAGGATACTTTAAAATTTCAAGGGAAATGTAATTTGTTCCACAAAAGTACTCAGTAAATGGAACTGGTTTATATTTCTTTTGGGTGCCATGAAAAATGAGTGAGACATTAACAGCTGACTGAATTAGGAAAAATTGAGAAACTCTGGGCAAGACTTCAGACAAATGCCCTTATACTCTTTCCTTTCAAAGAGTGCTCACTTTGGATCTTCAGTCCTACTAGATTAGTAAAAATTAATAGTACTGATAAAAATATAGAGAAAATGGCACACAGATGGTGGGAATGCAAATGGTTAATCATTTGAAAGACCATTTGACAATTAGAAAAATTTAGATTATTTTATTGGAAGGCATTTTTTTCTTTCTACTGTTAGAATGAAAATTATGTGGTCTATAGTTTTTAACTTCCTTCTAAGCTATTGACCAGTCAGTAAAAAACAAAGTTCTATCATATACATCACATACTTAAGAACTTTCCATCTGCAAATGAAAGAGGATGGGCTCCAGGCTTCTCAATCTTGAAGATTTCTTCTATGAAAATTACCCTGCAGTCATTTAATGTTCCTTCTGAACCCCTGTTTTGAAAAGAAAACTGATTTAACTTCTATAACAAAATCTACACAATGGCAAATGATAATTAGAAGTCAGTTTGGAAACTCAATGAATTTTTGCCCACTTACAAATTGAGCTTACATCTATTCTGATCACTCCGATTTTTTTTTTTTTTTAAATAAGCAGAGTCTCACTATGTAGTCCAGACTGGCCTTGAACTTACACTCCTCCAGCCTCAGCCTCTTAAATGCTGGGATTACAGGGGCTCGGTCACATGCCTAGTTATTATTCTAACAGTAGAGCTCAAAAAAATTAGCTAACATTCAAAGTCAGGTATATTTTTACAGTATCATCAAAATGCAAATTCATACACTGTTTCTTAGATTATCCAGCAAAAAAAATAATCTTGGATATTTAGGATGCCAAAGCAAGAGTCCAAGTTTAGCCCGGGAAACTTAAAAAGGACATGTCAAATTTTAAAGGGAACTAGAGTGCAGCTACGTGTGAATGCTCAGGCTTCAATTCCTAGCACCAAGGGCACAGAGTATGTCCGGGGAGAGGGACGGAGAAAGAAAGAGGGAGGCAGATTTTCAAATACAAAGCTGTATTTGTTACCGTTAATTTATATCTATTTGCAAATATTTCTTCAAACTTTTCTACCATGACTGGACTTATATATTTGTCCTTAATCTGTAAGTTTTTGCTGTACATTTTGAAAGTACATTATTCGATTTGCCCAAATTACACTATTTTATGAAATCTCTTTATCTCTAGTAACATATTTTGTATCAACTTCTTGTTGTTAGAATTTATGTGGAGATTTTTCCCATTCTTCCACCCACTTTTTTTTTTTTATCGTTGACAGAATGTTTAATAAATCATTTTGTTTAATAAATCATTTACACACAAAAAGTTATATTTTTGGTACTTAGCTATATGTATATAGACTGCTCCATTAAATTACATCATGATATTCATCTTTATAAGAATATTATACTGGGCCAGCCAAATAGCTCAGCGGAGGTTCAATCTCTGGGGCCTGCAGTGCCAGCCCCACCCCGGGGCATGCTGAGACAGCAATTGAAACTGGGTGTGGTGGCGCAGACCTGTAATCCCTGCTCTTTGGAGACTGTAAAGAGGTGGATCACTATGAGTCTGATCTCGTAGTGAGACCCTGAACATTCTGTAGACCCTTCCCTAAGATATAAAATAAAATAAAATAAAATAAAATAAAATAAAATAAAATAATAAAAAAAATACTATCCCACATATTGAAAAAAGCCTTGGACAGACTTCTGCGTAGAACTACTGTGGTGGCTGACACATTGCGCCAACTTGAGCGGTCAGAAGCTTGGCTGGATCGGCTTGCACATCCTGCGCATGGGCCCCTCCCTAGGGGTGGGGAGCGTCCACCTTAGGATGACTAATCATTTAGAGGGTATATAAAGGGGTTGAGGCAGGATTACGCACACCACTCACTCGAGAGAGCTTGATCTTCATAGCCATGCCACTTCCCACTGTTTCTTTAAATTCTTTTTTTTTTTTTTTCGAGACAGGGTCTCACTGTGTTGTTCAAGCTGGCCTTGGACTCACTGTGATCCTCCTGCCTCATCCTCCCAAGTGCTGGGATTATAGCTGTGTGTCACCATGCCTGGCTTCCTTTAAAACTTTTAATATCAAGTAGTAAACAAAGAATGTCACCTAAGTGGGTAAAGTGCACATCCTTTGAGACTAACAATCATGACAGAAAACAGATCACCTACCTCAGAACCCTTGGCATGCCTCTCCCAAGACAACTTCATACTCTCCCAAAGGCAGATTTACCTTTTCTTCTGTAATTACCTGTCTAACTCCCTAAGCAGGTGGATAGTTTTGCCTGCTTTAAAAGTCTCTATGTAGGCCGGCCAGATACCTTAGTGGATTAAAGCACCTGCTTAGGCAGACTCGGATGGGTTTGATCCCTGGTGTGGCCGCCCCAGCACCATGATTGAGACTGGGTGTGGTGGCACGCAACTGTAATCCCAGTGCTTAGGAGGTAGAAACCAGGAGGATCACTAAAAGTCCAACCTGTGTAGTGAAACCCTGTACTAAATACATTTTTTAAAAAGTCTCTATCTAGAAATTCCTACAGCATCTCTCTCTTCTTTACAATTTGTTGAAGCAGTCCAATCATTAGTGGTTTTTTAACAGTCTTGATTACGATAACTGCATTTCGATAACTGCATTTCCGAAGTGTTATTTAAATAGCTTTTTTGTTCATCTGTTATTTCTTGTAAAACTCCCAAGTACATACTAACATTTTCTGTACAAATTTAGGCCTAATGGATATTTACCTACCATTTATACATGTGTATGTTTTTCCTTTCTCCTTTAGAACATAAAGTTCTAGTTCTCAGCTGCCAAAAATACTATAAACGTGATTGTTTTTCCTATATTACATGTAATTATAACTGCTGAAAAATAAGAACTTTTACTGTACTTTCCCACTTCTTTGATTATAATATAGCCACAATGTCAGATCTTTAGTCGTTACATACTATACTTTCTTCTTTGTGTCCCTCAATTCCTCTGCTGGGGACTGAACACAGGGCCTTAAGAATTCTAGTCAGGGGCCAGCGAGATAGCTCAGTGGGCTAAAGTGCCTGCTTAGGCAAGCTCAAGAACAGCAGTTAGATCCCTGGCACCATATGCCATGCCAGCCCTGCCCCAGGGCTGGCTAAGTCGGCCACAAAAATAAATCAATCAATCTAATTAAACATTCATCCACTGCGCTAAATCCCCTACCCCTTAGTCCTAGTTCTAAATGTAGAAATATAACAAATGCTTATCGCCACTCCATGTCAAATTCTCTCTACTCATCTTGGTTGCTAGTTGAAAAGAGTTCTCAAGAAAGATTCATTGAAACAGTCTGTCTTTAATACCACAATAATGCTTTACCTATATTCTTTATTCCAGAGACTAGATTGGACTAATTATAATCTTTGGCTCACCTCCTGACTCATGCTTATCTTTCTGGATGCTTCCTTATATGAAATGTTCTCTTGTTCCTTTCTTTTTTCTCTTCTGCCTTTGTATGGAAATTGGTAACAATCTTTTCCTTTTGCTCACTATTGAAACATAAATTTCCTCAGCCTTTAGATACTGACTTTGTTAACTGTTATGGAAGTTTACAGCTATAGAGCTCATTTTAAGAGTTCAAAATTCTGTCAGGTGAGATCTAATCTAATAGAAAGCAGATTAGTGGGGTTATGTGGGGCCAATGAGGTGGTAGGAATAAACTATAAGAGGGCCTGTGAAAACCTTTGGAGGTGATGAAAATGTTCCTAAATATGTGTTTAGATGCATATACTTTTCAATGTTTGCTGAATTAAACACTTAGCCTGACAAGCTACAGGGTTATTCATAGGATACTCACTTCCCCTTATAAAAATGCAGATGCTCAAATCCCTTGTATAAAATGTGTTTGTTTATATATAACCTATATACATCCTCTCAATTTTTTGTAGACTGTTCATAATAATGTAGTGTAAATGCTACATAAATAGTATGCTGTATTTGGGAATAAGAAAAGCCTACTACATGTTTGATACTGAACTTCTTTACAACTAATTTCTGTTCATGGTTGGCCTTTCTTACCCTAAATTATGACTCAAAATAATTTTTATTATTTTTTATTTTGCTCGGAATGCCTTCAAGGGCAGGTTTGGCTGGCTTGAGTTGTGGGGATCGAACCACAGCAACCTGAGCCTGACTGCTTTGTTGAAGCAGCCACTTAAAGAACTGAGCTAAGGGGCAGGCCCCCTCAAAATAATTTTTAGAAAAGGATAAACTTGAGACTTTCATAGGTAAACTGATGCAAGTACAGACCATACTCCTCAGTGAAATAAATCATATTTGCATTGTAAACATTGTATTGCCTCTTTAGCATAAGAAGCTGAAAGAGTAAGTATGATCCAAAATGTACAAGAGATACTGGGAAATGGGAAAGGAAGGAGAAACTGGGATGGGGGAAAGGAGAATATAAGGAAGGGAAAAGGAAGAATAAATAAGTATGTATATGCAAGATAAATTATACTACTAACTTCTATTAATTCATTGGAAGGAAAGAAAGTTGGTGCTTATATTGTTTGATCAATTTTTCATGCCCCACTTTGCAATCTCAGCAACTACCTTGAAGATAACCATACAGTATATTATCAATTATTGTCACTCATTTCTATTGTCTTTTCTCTTTAGAAAGAAATTATATATATGCTTCAGTCAGACGTAGCACACATGTGTAATCCTAGCACACTGAGGAGGCTGAGGTAGAAGGATCACTGTAAGTTTAAAGTCAGTGTGGGCTACAAAGTGAGTTCAAGGCCAGCCTCAATTGCATTGTGAAACTCTGTCTCAAAACAAAATATAGGGCCAGCCAAATAGCTCAGCGGATTAAAGTGCCTACAAGCAGACACAGGGGCAGGCAATCCCCAAAGCCTGCTGTGTCGGCCCCGGGGGCGTGCTGAGATGGCAACTGAGACTGGGCATGGTGGCGTGTGCCTGTAATCCCAGCTCTTGAGAGGCTGTAAACAGGCGGATCACTACAAGTCTAATATAGTAGTGAGACCCTGAACACTCTGTAGACCCTTCCCTAAAATACAAACAAAACAAAACAAACAAACTAACCCCTTCAATCTCCAGTACCACTGACCAAAGTAAGACATAGCACAAGCTTTATTTCATACCTCCTAAGATTCTTTTTCCTTATCTAAGGAGCTAGCAAATTTTGTATATGACAGGGCGGACTATAAGTAGATTAAACTTTGCAAGCCAGATGGTGCCAGTCCCAAATGTTCAATACTTGCTGTTGAGCACAAAACCAGGCACAAATAATATGTAAGTCAATAGGCACTGCTATTCTAATAAAATTTTATTTGCAAAAATAGGCAACTAGTGTAATGTAGTTTACCTAACCTTACTGTGTTTTTATTAAGCATATGCTTCTTCTCAGATCTGTAACTTTCTGCCATTAATCCAGTTATCTTTTGCTTGATATTAATTTTAGCTGTTTCCATTATGTAAAAGAAAATCAGTCTCACTCTAAAATCTTTCATGTTCAATACAATGAATCCAGTAGAATTCATTAAGAAAGGAGTGTACAAAGAGAATGTTGAAATTTTAACAAAAATCTACAAAGTTTATAATTTCATTTTTTAAAAGTTAGTGATTATGTAACAACATATATAAGTAATTCTTATATAAAAGTGTATATATAAATAACGCAAACATTTGGGGGGATTGAGCCCAAGATCTGTCTATCACAGGACTGCATCCTCAACCTTTTTAAAAAAATCTATTTGAGACAGTGTCTTGCTAAAGTTGCTCAGGAAGGACTTAAATTTGCAGTCTTCCTGCCTCAGTAGGGATTCAATGTGTGTGCCATCATGTCCAACATAAAGACTATTTCTTATAGAATTGATGGAAATATGTGCATGATTTGGTAGTTCAGGAAAGTTTGTGCATTTTGAATGCTCTTCATTAAGTTTCTTAAATTCTGTATGCTGATTAAAAATTAAGGAAAAATGCAGCTAGCATTACAAGTCCAGCAGACAGCTAAAGGTTGTTACCTATTGCTATTAAAACAACACAACTATTAAAATGCTGTTGTATATAATTGCACATATAAGAATTCCATTTTTGTTTTGAAATTCTGTACCATATGTATTGTTGTATGTTACTGTTTCTGTTTTTATTAATTGCTTATATACTTTTTTTACTCTTTAAAATAAAATTTTAGTTTTATTTTTTAAACTTATTTATTTAGTGTGTGTGTGGCCAGCTCAGCCCACTAGGGGGCGGGGCTGGCTGGCATGTGGTGCTGGGGGATTGAACCGCGGGCCCTGTGCTCTGCTAAGCTTGTTCTAAGTAGGTGCTTTAGACCACTGAGCCATCTCACCAGCCCCCTAAAATAAAATTTTAAAAAAATAATCCTATGAAGGGTTTCTCTAGCAAGATGCCCATTTATTTCTAAGATTCTTCCAAATTATATCTCCAAAGCTACAGTAGAGATAAAGCTTTGAGCCACTCAATAAAAGTTCTTAAGAAATTACAAAACTGATTTTTATAGCAGAGAAAGTTCCATCTTTCATGGATATCATCTTTTTTTTTTCTTTTCTTTTCTGAGACAAGGTCTTGCTACATAGTTTGGGACAGTCTTAAGCTCACTATGTGGCCCAGGCTGGCCTCCACTGATGGCAAATGCCTGAGCCTAACAGCATCACCAAGCTCAGCCATCCTTTTTTACTACAAACATGTGCTTCAGAACCTATAAAGTACATTCCTGAATTCAGCAACTAAATACTGAGAAAGATCTTACCCTAGAAAAATTTTCACACGAAGTTCTTTTTTAGTCCTGGAGACTGCCTTCAATGTGGTAATTTCTGCATCATACCAAAATCCTCTTTTTGCTGGATTTTCCACATTGTAATTAACCATTACCACATCACCAACATTTAGTTCATTCCATTTCAAAATGGTTCTAGCTCGTGGTCGGAGATCCTTTACATTCATTTGTAGAGTACCACTTTCTGGATATCTGAGGAGAAAGAATCACAGGGCATGGTTTATAGTTATCACCAATGCTGACTAAAATTATATGACATATAGACAAACCTAACCTGCAGAGCTGACCATCTGAGAGAAAAGGTAAAACAAGTTGCACCAATCTTTAAGCAGTGAGTGTAGTATTTTATTCTGGCCTCTTGCCTTTCCTATAGTGATAGCAGGCTGGGTTCTATGTGAGCATGAATGCTCTTGCCCAGCTTCTACAGGCCTTGCAGATTAAAGTCTCTTCACAAAATGTTGGGCAAGTGTACAAGAACCTAGATAATATTTACTTTGAGAAAATACACTACTTCTCCAGAATACACTACATGTAATATAGTCAGTAAAGTATCACGGTTACATTCTGGATGTTCTGAATGAAGCTCTACACTTCTATTATGGACTGAACTTAAAGGCTTTCACACTGAGCTACATCCTTAGCCCTGTAAGGCAGGGTCTTGCTAGACTGCCCAAGCTGAGCTCACATTTGCAGTACTCTTGCCTCAGCCTCCCTGAGTGCTAGGATTACAAGCATGCTTAGCTAAGACTATATATTCTAATGACATTTAAACAATAAACATTGAGAATTTTAGTTACCGAAATAAAGTAACGCTTATTAGTCTTAGACATTTATTGTTAGCTAAGGGGTAAGAAAACAGCAAAAATTCTTACATTTTAACTAGCATTTAAGAATTCCTTCACTACTACTAAATATTGGCCTCTCTCTGAGAAACCAGTTCACTGAGTTCTACTATTTGTGTCATTTGCTTTGGATACAAACCTATCATGTTCCAATAACCTCCATTTTCTCAGGAAGAAAAGGATAAGATTCTCGGTTTTTTATGTGTGTGAGACAGGGTTTTGCTAAAACATTTAGGCTGGCCTTGAATTCACGGCAATCCTCCTGCCTCAGCTCCTGAGTGGTGGGCTTACAGGGATGTGCCACCATGCCTCCCCCATTTCATTCAGTACTGAGGACTGAATGCAGGAATTACATAGCTTTTTAGTTTGGAACACGGTGATTAAATCACTCAGGCTGGGCTCAGACTTGCAGTTCTCTAGCCTTGGCCTCCCACAGTGCTGGAATTACAAGTATGCTCCACAGTTCTTCTTAAAATTCATATTCTTATATACATCCAGGTCCCTATTTACATTTTTTTAAAAGCCCCCCCAAAATCCATTTAATATTTACGTGAAAGAATTCTAGCAAAATCTTGGCTTTACAATGTTTTAGAACATTCTTTATTATTAGATATAACTTCTTGTTATCATCAGGCCAAAAAGAGCAAATAACAGTTCACACTGGCTTCTATAAAATTAAGACCTGCTGCTGTCTTTTGTGTATCACAAAGCAAGTTAGTAACATCTGGTCCCCATCTCAAATGACACAATCTATTGAGGTAGGCCAACTTGCCATAGCAGTGGTTCTCAAACTGCTCCTCAGCGCCACAGGATCAGCACTGCTTGGATATATGTTAGAAATGCACATCTTGGGGCTCCACTTTGGACTGTGTCACAAACTCAGGCAATGGAGCCTGTGATCTCTCTTTGTAAGTCCTTTCAGTGACTCTAATGTGTGTTTTAAGTTTGAGAACTTCTGTGGTGAAAGAATATGAGAATAATTAAATACTACACCATAGTATGACAGCATTAACAAAGTAGAAATTAGGGGATGAAAAAGTTAACACTCAACCAAAAATGACAGGTTCAAATGAAAGTGCGTCTAAAGTTGGAAACTGCTTCTGCAGCTAGTCTTAGTTCCTCCATATCAAACAGGACTACGCAAGCCTATGACTGTCACAGTACACAGTATGGTTAAGTTCTTTAAAATAAATGGCTATTAGTTCAACATAAGATCTCTAATCACGCAATTTAACCAAGTCTGTGAGTTTTAACCATTGGGAGGCATCTAGCATTGGCAGGGGTTCTCTAAGACTGATTCTTTCATTCTCTCTGAGCTGAAACTCCCTTTGAGAAGCCTTCCAATCAGGATCTGCTCACACAATACATGATGGGGCATGTGGCATTTTAATCCTTAGAAACTCCATGCTGTCTCCATAGCTCTGACATGAGAAAGAAAAGATACTTGATCCTGAATCTAAGGTAAATTTTAAAATCTTCTATGAAATAGTACCATGAAGATACCACTACTCTCCAAAACAGACCTAATATTTTTCAATGTAAGTCTTATACTTCTTTTGGTGTTTCTAAGAACTAAAATAAGACCTTCAAAGTGCTTTAAAATGAACAAAAAGAAGTATCAGTTGCTCCTACTTTCTCACTGTTATGTACACATAACTTTAATGTCCATGCTTCACTCCCTCCATCTCTGTTAATCCCAGTTTTAAGCAGTCAGACCTAAATATAGAAGTTTCTAGCCCAAAGTCTGATGTTTACACAATCATGCTGTTTCATATGGTTCCGTGAAAAAACAAAAACAAAACACCAAAATCACCATGATGATGAAATAGACCTTTCAAGGTTTTTCTAATTCTGAAGTTTCAATTCAATTTCTGTCTAGATACTCTTAAGGCCATAAGACAGAAAAACTGCTATTTTAGATAAGATTATTTTCTCAGCTGCCATGAAAGTTACAGTTGACATTATGATATTATTACTCCAGTTTTAAAATAAAGTGAAAGCCATGTTTCAATGGGAAATAATTCTCAACTTGCCTAAATTTGCCAAAATTAACTTAGATTGGAAATACTTTGAACAAAATACAGAACCTGTATGTTTTCAAATTATGTATATGTAAATCATGTTTATATGGAGATAAAGCAAAATGAGTCATTCTATACACGAAAGCAGGGGAATTTAATCAGAAATTTATACCACTTAAAGACAGAATTATGAAGTAAATGAAATGTACATATATTTTTATATATGTGCATACACATACAAAAAATGTCTGTAAAAGATATGTCATAAAAATTCTAGCTAAAAACACAGTGGTTCAACTGCTAGATTGAAGGAGAAAAAAATAAAACCAGAAGGTACCATAAAATTATTTTTAAATAAAATCAAGAATGTGTCAAGTGCTCAAATATGTAATATCAAAGTTAAATTCCTTGGGCACGTTCATCTGCATGTATCTTACCTCGTACTAGTACTCCACCCTTAAACTTTCCGATTCATGTATGTAACCCCTCCAATCCAGTGTCAGAAGCAGTGAAATTCAATATATCCCAAAGCAAGTCTGACATTTCCTAATACACTGATGCGATGTAGTATCAAGAAACTTTTTATGATCTCAGAAACTTAGCAATCACTCTTAATTCCTCTGACAATGCCTCTAGAAACTTACGAACTCCTTACAGTACACTGTTAACACTTCTTCAATGTAACTCTACACCCCAAGTTAAGATCTCCAGTTCTTAGACTAATGCCAAGGTCCAAATTCTCTGTTTTTAGGATGCCTTTCAATCCTTACCTGATTTTTGCCAAAATGAGATTCTAAAACACAGATCTTAAAATATTATTTGATAGGCATGGGAAAATGGATACGTTCATACACTGCTCAAAGGACTACAAAGTGGCACTCCCCCAGCCTCACCCCCAGTAGAGGCAGAATGTAGCAAATAAGCCACAAAACTGCTCAGATATTGAACTTTCACTTAGGAATTCCACTTCTAGGAATCCATCCCAAACATAAATAACAAAAATCTTCCAGGAGAGGCATTTATACACAAATGTATTATATAGCTGCACTATCTGTAATGCTAAGACTATAAAAGGTGAAATGTTCACAACAGGCAATCACTTAAGATAACATGACACAGCCAGGTGAGGTGGCATGTACCAGTAATTCCAGCTATTCAGGAGGGCAACTTAACAAGACCTTGCCTTAAAATGAAAAACAGGGCTGAAGACATGGTGGGAGAGCACCACTAAGTTAAATCCCATAAACAACAAATGAAACAAAAAAGATATAATTATATAACGGAAGGTTATACATCTACAAAAAAGGAATGAGGGATGCATGCTATGAAGTGATTTCCAGGATATAGTTAAGTCAAAAAGCAACATTCAAATAATAGGAGTAGTGTATTATTTTCTATCTAGGTACATAAGCTAATGCAAGTATCTATGAGGTCCAGTTTCTCTTATTGTACCTTGTTTCCAAGTTTAAAATATTTCACATGATTATAAAACAAACCAAAATGTTAGAAATTCCTTAAAAATCAAAAGAAAAATCAAAGAAACACAATTGATGGTGTAACTACATTGAGAGGAACTCTTACAAGTGATTTGGATAAGTTGACTATACAGCCCAAATGATGTACTTTCTAAGGACAAAATAGGAAAAGAACACTTTCAGTAACCATACTGTTCATAATACTAGTACTTCTAGTTTGAAGCTACTGCATAAATTAGGATAATACAAAAAATTAATGGTAATATTAGAAACGATCATTTTTGGGATAATAAATATGAAATTAAAGATAGTAAGTTACAAGCCTTTATGAAGTTCTTCGGATATATCAGTATAAACAGTACATATTAGTAAATTTCAATATTTCCTATCTGTCCAATGAAAAGGCCTAGAAACATAACCAAATAAGTCATCAATTCAACAGCCTAGATTACATGCTTCGAATGTAACTTCTAACCAACTGGGATTCCTTAAGAACTATCTGAACCCAGGGATGGGCCATCCTTTTGTACCTGAACACAAAAGAAGCACTCAACAACTGTTAGGTTAACCAGAAGGAGCCTCCACAGACAAGAATGAGGACAACTTGAGCAATAAAGATGGCAACTGAAGTAGATTAAAACAGGAGTTAAGACCCATTTTAAGTTTACACTAATACTTAAAAGTAAAATGGCAGGGGCCAGGGAGATGGCTCAGTAGAATAAGCACTTGCCTGGCAAGCGCAAGGGTCTGAGTTCAATCCTTGCTTCCCCCACCCCCCCCCAAAAAAAAAGAAAGGTAAAATGGCAAAAAGTCAAGGACCAAGAGTTTATCCTACACTGGTTAGCTAACGAATG